CATTTGCTCAGGACTCACTCCTTGCCAAGCACATTAGTTCCTTTAATCTACAAAATTTCCTGCTGAGGTCTGTTAATGCTTCCATCTTTCATGAAACATCTGCCCAGAGAGGGCAAGGACTCACAGCTAACAAGTGGATGAGTCAGAAATTCACATTCACATGTCCAAATGCAATCATTATTCCATGGCTTTTTCCTATCTTCCTGCAGTTTACACCACCGGTGATAGCAACAACAACATAAAAAATAATTTCACTCTTTTATGAAGGGCTTTACAGTTCAATGCTCTTTCATGTATCTTTTTTCATCGATAAGAAAATGTCCAACTACTAACTGGGGTACTTAGTTCTGTTTAGCTCTGCTCTAGATTGAATCATAGCCCATGAGATTTGAAATGGCTAAGTCTTCAGTTCGGAAAGTATTGTGCTTTAGAAACCACAGGAAGACTTAAAATAGACTGGAATATTCTGAGGTTATAGGTATGAGAGAAAATGTACCAGATAAAAACCAGTTGAGCCAGTGTTTGGAGCTTTTCTTGACCAAAGCAGACAGACTCCATAGAAACTATTCAGGATCCTCCCCGTGAGACGGCTGCAGGAGACAACCACTCAGAAAGCACCACCAGTATTGTTGCTATCCACACTCAGAAGGAATGATATTTTCCAACTCTGGCTGCACATTAAAATCACTTGGAGAACTTAAGAAAAAAAAAAAAAATCTGGGCCCTGCTGACAAACTGAATCAGTATTTCTGGGTGAGAGGTTGGGCATGTGTTTTTTGGCGGGGGCGGGGGCGGGGAATTCGTGGTTTTTAAAGTTCCCCAGATTGTAATTGGCAGCCAGAGCTGAATCCCACTAAGCTAGAAGATGGGACACAGAAAATATATTTGCTGATTTTTTAAAATTTTATTTTGGCAGCACGGCACAGCATGCTGGATCTTAGTTCCCCGACCAGGGAGGGAACTGGAGCCCCCTGAAGTGGAAGCTCGGAGTCTTAACCACCGAACCACCATGGAAGTCCCTTTGCTGTTATTTAGCATTAAAAACCAATTCCATTCAATGGCTCACACCTGGAGATTGGAGTGAGCCGTCAGCTTTGTGTCTGAACTACCTACCCACTCCCCTATCATCATTCTTTACCATTTCTCTTTCCTCCATTGAATATTTACTGAATGTATATTTATTTACTGAAATCCATATCTATGTCAATTCCTAAAGTGGTGTTTGACAAGGGTTAGACTGTAAAAGTCTATAGTTTGTTAAGGAATTCGCTGTTATCGGCTAACAATAGGAGAGATGTCAGTGGCTTCACTAGCCGAATAAATAAATAAAAGCACAGACTGTCATTTGTATTGATTCTATATGTGGTTCATACTCTCCTATGAACATTGTGGAGCGCTGACATTCTGGTTTAATTTGCACATTCAAGTTCCCAAGGATTAGCTGTGATTTGCATAGCCCCAGATTGAGATGGGTATGCTAACCTGCTCCTGCATACAGAGACCCCTTGTGGCACTTATCTGATTACCTCCCAGGTTATGTGGGAAACTTTCTATTTCTTTTACAGTAAGACACACAACTCCCTTACTGCACTGGTGGCAGTTGATTTCAATGCATTTGAATGAAAATAATATCTAAGATTTATGGAGTATTCTTTTTTTTTGAATTTTTAAATTTTATTTATCTTTTTATACAGCAGTTTCTTATTAGTTATCTATTTTATACATATTAGTGTATATATGTCAATCCCAACCTCCCAATTCATCACCCCACCCCACCACCCCACCCCTTTCCCCTCTTGGTGTCCATACATTTGTTCTCTACATCTGTGTCTCTATTTCTGCCCTGCAAACAGGTTCGTCTGTACCATTTTTCTAGGTTCCACATATGTGTTAATATACGATATTTGTTTTTCTCTTTCTGACTTACTTCACTCTGTATGACAGTCTCTAGATCCATCCACATCTCTACAAACGACCCAGTTTCGTTCCTTTTTATGGCTGAGTAATATCCCATTATATATATGTACCACATCTTCTTTATCCATTCCTCTGTTGATGGGCATTTAGGTTGATTCCATGACCTGGCTATTGTAAAAAGTGCTGCAATGAACATTGGGGTGCATGTGTCTTTTTGAATTATGGTCTTCTCTGGGTATATGCCCAGTAGTGGGATTGCTGGGTCATATGGTAATTCTATTTTTAGTTTTTTAAGGAACCTCCATACTATGGAGTATTTTCTATGTGCCAGGCACTATTAGTGTTCTACATGCACTAACTCAAATAATCCTTAACTCTATGAGGTAGATGATTTATTATTCCCATTTTACAGATGAAAAAACTGAGGCTCAGAAAAGTTAAGTAAGGTGCCTAAGTTCACACACTTATTAAGTGATAAAGCTGGAATTTGAACCCAGAAAGTCTAGTTCCAGAATCTGGATTCTTAGCCACTAGACTATACCACACCCCCTAGTAGGTAGGGGATTGCTGGAGTACATTTTAGGAGAGGATGTAGAGTAACCAGTAGTCTCATCACTGCTAGTGGAAGTGCAAACTGGTACAACTACAAACAAATTGACAGTATCTGCTAAGGCTGAACATATGCTTACCCTATGACCTAGTAATTCCTGGGTACATACCCCAAAACAGTCCATACTTGTGTTGACGAAAGGACATGAATTTGAATGTTTATAACAGCAGTACTTGTAATCACACTGAACTGGAAACTACCCAAATGTCCATCAACAGTGGATAAATTCTGGTGTATTTATACTGCTACGCAGCAATGAGAATAAACAATCTATAACTACACAGAGTAATAAGGAAGGTTCTCACAAACATAATGCTGACTGAAAGGAGTCAGGAAAAAAGAGCACAGGCTGTATGATTCTATTTATATAAAGTTCAAAGGCAGGCAAAAAGAAACTGGGCTATTAGGGGTCAGGCTATTGGTTACCATTAGGGGGACAAGTTGTGTCTGGAATGAGTACTTGGGGGAGGTGCCTTCTGGGGTTGTGGGTAAAGTCCTCTTTATTTATTCGAGCCACGGGGCTTTCAGGATCTCAGTTCCCCGACCAGGGATTGAACCCATGCCCCCTGCAGTGGAAGCACGGAGTCCTAACTACTGGACCTCCAGGGAAGTCCCAAGTCCTCTTTATTGACCTGGGTACTGGCCACAGCACGTGTTTAAGTTTTTAAAGTTCAGTGAGCCGTACACTTAGGTTATATGCACCTTTCTGTATGTATACTATATATCAACCAAAAGTTTGAAAGGGTACTATCTGTGATCAAATACTACCTAGAGTTAGGAGATTTCGTTAAATATTTTAAAATAAACAGTGCATATTTACGGAAGATAGTCATTCCAGGCAATGAAAGAGTAAGTTTCTGCTCTCTCTAGTTCTTCCCTGCTTTCCTACTTCTTACCACAACTGCCAACCTGATGACTTAATAAGAGAAAATGTTCAACTCAGTCAGGTATATGGAACAGGTTCAGTCTGCTCGCCTCCAGACAGGAGTTCAAAGGCAGGGTGACTAATGAGAGTTGTATCAAAGTATGGTTTGTAGGAGGCATCAGAACAATGGGTCCCTGGCTCACGCCCTTTACATCTCCTGGAGCACCCACTTCCAGGGGTGTGGAAATAGGTTTCTTTTGTAGAAATCTTCAAGAATGAGGAAACCGAGGTCTAGGGTATGAAGCGACTGACTCCACATGACATTCTGCCAAAGGGTAGTCCCTCTTAGCAGGGACTCAGTGGGAGCGGCTCACCGTAAGAATTCTCACTATCCCTGCACACCTGTGGAATCAAATCATCAGCCACCCCTTACATATTTGAGAGGTACAGCCCAATCCACAACGCCCCATTTATCCCCCTTCTGCCTTTGAGAGACAAAGACTTCATTAACTGTCACAAAGGCAATGCTTTGCCAGGGAAAGCACTAACTTCTGTTTGCTTTAAGAAGCATGCCTATAGGGCTTCCCTGGTGGTGCAGTGGTTGAGAGTCCGCCTGCCGATGCAGGGGACACGGGTTCGTGCCCCGGTCCAGGAAGATCCCACATGCCGCGGAGCGGCTGGGCCCGTGAGCCATGGCTGCTGAGCCTGCGCGTCAGGAGCCTATGCTCCGCGACAGGAGAGGCCACAACAGTGAGAGGCCTGCGTACCGCAAAAACAAAAAAAACAACAAAAAAAACTTTCATCACTACAGATGCCTTCAGCCAAGTTCTTTCCAGTAAGTTTCACAGGGAAGAACTTTTGAACCTAATCTAGATCAAAACTTACAATCAAAACAGCCACAAAATTCACTTCTGTTATCAGGCAAGACAATGGTTCCCCTCCTTGTCCCAGCTCATGAATCTGGCCACCTTACCAGGTTTTCTTTCTCTTCCTCTGTGCATGGCACAGAATTATGGATAATTAAATATGAGATAACTTTGGCAAATACTTTTCTTACAATTCTGCTGATTATTCTCAGGGGTAAAATCATATTTAAAGGAACTAGGTTAATTTAATTACTGAATTCACTCATCAATCATTTAGTAAATTTGCTTCCAGGTCTGATTTCCACTTGCATTCTATTTTTTTTTTTTAATTTATTTTTTGGCTGCGTTGGGTCTTTGTTGCTGTGCGTGGGCTTTCTCTAGCTGTGGCGAGCGGGAGCTACTCTTCGCTGCGGTGCGCGGGCCTCTCATTGCAGTGGCTTCTCTTGTGCCAAGCATGGGCCCTAGAGTGCACTGCCTTCAGTAGTTGTGGCATGTGGGCTCAGTAGTTGTGGTGCACAGGCTTAGTTGCTCCGCGGCATGTGGGATCTTCCCGGACCAGGGTTCGAACCTGTGTCCCCTGCATTGGCAGGTGGATTCTTAACCCCTGCGCCACCAGGGAAGTCCTCCAGCTCCATTTTAAATCTCCAGCTATTTTCAGAATCGGATTTATCCCCTCCTCATTCTCCCCATCACGGCTCCCACTCCCTCCCTCTCTCTCCATTATAGACTCATCACTACTCACCTGAAGTCTTTCTTTCCCACAAGGGCTTAGTGGGACTGAAGCTGAGAATTCCAACATGGCTTCTGTGGTGGGAAGAATTTCAAAGACTTCCCTGTAGATGGGTCTGGATATTTCAATATTGTAAAAAGGCCTCCATTCCCTTCTGAACTACGGCTTGGGGACATTGCTCGCCACCTCATTCCAGTTGTGTCCTTGGGTTGCAAGTGAGAACAGTCACCAACTTTCAAAGCCTTTTCAATGCCCTTAAGACAACAGAGCTGTGGCTTCCAACTCCCATCATTTCTGCAGACTGGACTTACTAAGGAGATACCAGGTGGCATGAAGCATCTGTAATAGGGAAGAACCTCTTTAGTTAATCACTAAAGGGGTGTTGCCTATAAGCTTAAATTATGCATAATGGCCCATGTCTGGGAGCCCTGCCCCCCAGGTAATGAGCATTAAGCTAAAATACCTTTGCTCAGCTCACAGTAATCATCCTGACCAGGCCCACCTGGGAACTGCCGCAGGCAGAAAGAAATTAACACATCCCCGCTGGAGTCTGGCCAGAACCAGGATTTTACCACCTCCCCTTTTGCCTGAATTCCAACTGGAGGAAGGTGGTTCTTTGGGACTCTAGTCCGTCATCTTCTCAGTCCGCTGGCTTTCTGGAATAAACTCACTATTACTTGCCTGAGCAACTCACCTCTCCACTCACTGGCCTGTCATGCCGTGACATGAGCTTCCGTAACAAGTCCTCATGAAGCAAGGTGTCCTGGCTGAGTCCCTAGCCAAGAGTCAGTGTCAGCAGAACCACCAGGCTACAGATACCTGCCATCCTGGTCTTACCTGAGTTGATTTGAGGTGTTTTCATTTGGGGGCAAAAAGAGGAGGAAAGACCCCTGGAGAGAGGGGTGAGGGAAGACAAATTCTTGGTCTGGTGTCTGCCCTGTGTCTGATGTGATGAGAGCTCTGAGACCCCAGAAAGGGAAGGGTCAGGGCCTAATGGCTGAAGGGGCTCCGTTCATCAGAGGTTGGGCCCAAGAAGGGGTTATGTGATTACTATGCAGAGGAGATAAAATATGAAAAAAAAAGTTACTCAAGATAAAGTTAAAAAAAAAAGAGGTGACGCTCTCCAGCCCTACTCTGACAGAGACCATCACATAGCATTGGCACCATAGGGCCTTAGAGTGGGCACTAATGGAGAATGGCAGTTCATAGAAGAGAAATAGGTGGCTACCCGGCAACTATCAGAACTAGGTACTTAATAAGGACAGCTTAGAAGAACGTGGGCAAGTAGTTTCTTGAATACCTGTAAGACACTTGCCCTGTGAAGTCCCAGGGACATCAGAGGGATTTCTTAGGGGTAGTTGTATGGTCAGGCCGCTCAGGATGGCTGTTCTCTCTCTCTCTCTCTCTGTCTCTCTGTCTCTGTCTCTCTCTCTTTTTTTCTTTTTGGCTGCGCCGCGCGGCATGTGGGATCTTAGTTCCCTGACCAGGGATAGAACCCGTGCCCCCTGCATTGGAAGTGCGGAGTGCTAACCACTGGACCCCCAGGGAAGTCTCAAGACGTGTGTTCTCTTGCTCTCTGTACACCCCTGCCCGACCAGGGCCTGCTTCACCTACATCCTACCCACAGCACTGACCCTCCTACGTACCTGCCCCAGGCCCCAGCTAAAGATAACTTATCCAAGGAGCGGTGAGGGGCGTGCCCCTCTACTGGTTTCCCTGGTAACTAATGAGCCCTCCTGAGGTCAATTCCTGACTAACTGGTAATTCCACCCCCCTCCCCCCGCCCCCAGCCCAGGAGCGAAGCCTGCCGCCTCGTCCTGCCCGCGTGCCGCCGTATACGGTGGGGTGTCGCTCCAGGACTTTGCTTCAGACAGGTAAGCTCCCCCATCCGTTAAAGCATGATGTCTCTGTTGCTGACCCCGCCGGGCCCTTTCTTCGGTCTTAAAGCTGGTCAAGCGCCGGCCTTGTAGGCCCGCGGAGTGCAGCCTAACAGCGGGCAGAGCGGCCAGGAGCCCGAGGAAACTCCCGTGAGCGCCGCGATGTAGGGAAATACGGGACGGGGAACGGAAAGCCGCGGGGGCCGCCCACTACCACGTGGCTCCCGAAAGTTGTGTGGGTGATCTCGGGGCGGCCGTCCACTAGTTTGGGGGGTCCTGTGGTGGCCGTCCTTGCTGAGCGGGGCTGCCGAGAGTTCTGGACAACAGTGGCCTCCAATGGCTCTGCTATCGTATCAAAGTGAGCCTTTTGTCATTGGTTAAGCTAGCTTTCTAGAAGGGGTTGGTATTTCTCTTGTGCCTTTGGGATGTGAATGATCCACCTGGACTCTCTGGCTTTTTAATCTTCTGTGATCTCTAAGAGTAAAGGAGAAGAAAGAGCTTTTAGGTAAACTCTCTGGAAATAATCGTGTTATAACTGGTAATTCCCCGGCGCCACCGCGCGCCTCCCCCCAGCCCTGGGAGGAAGCCTACCGCCATGTCCTGCCCGCCGGACGCCGCACACAGTGGGGTGTTGCTCCAGGACCTTGCGTCAGACAGGTAAGCTCCCCCGTCCACTAAACCATGATGTCTCTGTTGCCGACTCTGAGCCCTTTCTTTGGTCTTGAGGCTGGGCATGTACAGCTCTTGGAGGCCTGTGGGGTGCAGCCCAACAGTATTAACAGGGCATAAATGTTGATGTGACATCATTTGTTGACGTAAGCCACTGAGATTTTGGAGTCAGTTTTAGTTGCAGCATAACCTAGCCTATCCTGATTGATACAGGGATTCAGTAGCCCATTAGCACATTAAGGACATGAGAAGTTTTTTAGTAGAGACATCTGCTTGATGTTATTTAATCCTATGGTACCATGGCGCATGTGGGGAGTGAGGGCTTGCATCCTGGCCCACCTTGAGTCTACCTCCTGCCACCTCCTCACTTCCCCCTATGAGTTCTTTACCGCCCCCTCGCCTCCATCCACTGGAGCCCCAGCCTTGCCTGGCCTCCCCTCTCTGCCCTGTGAGCACTGCCACCCTCTACCCTGGCAGCGTCCAGGTAGCACTGGGGGAAGAGGTGGAGTGGTGTGGGTAGGATAGGATAGGGGTTGGGGGGGACGAGGCCCATGTCCTACCTGACACAAGTGCCAGGAATGTTGCAGTGGGGGTCTGGGTTGGACATGTGCCCCATACGGAGTCTCGAGTGGGGCATGCCAGGCTGTCCTCACCCTGGGCTGGCAGCACCACGGTGGGTTCAGGAGACAGCTTGGCAAGTGTGAGCCTCTAGCCCATCTCTGATCCAGGTATGGAAGTTGCAGTCCTTTGAGGGTTGGCCATCTGCCATGGGTTGGGACGGTGGGCTGTGGGAAGGGGGATTGACTTCCTGGCTGGGGCGGGGATGCTGCACAGGGGCCCAGTGGCTGGTGGGAGGGGGAACCTGGCAACTAGCAGACCACGTGCACCTCATCACAGAATGGGATCCTCGGGTGCCTGGGAGGATTCAGTGTGACCTAAAATAGGAACTGAGAGAGAGGAAGGGGAAGTGGGAGGGGAGGGAGAGGGGGAGAAAAGAGAGAGAGAGAGCAGAGGCAAGGAAATATTTTATATCTTAGGACCTTAACGGCACTCTTTTCCTGCTTTTTGAACACGTGGCCCTGCATTTTTATTTTGCACTAGGCCTGACAAATTATGTAGCCACCCTAGCCTACAGAATATATTTTCCATAGTTACAATGAAAGGAAAGGGAGCCATGTCCACCATCTTTCCACAGACCGGCCTGGAGACGGGGGCAGCGCCCGCTAGTCTACACGTCCATAAGCGTATAAGCAACCCCTCTCAGCCCACACTTAGGTATTTTGCTTCTGTTTCCTATTGGCTGTGGGACCGCATGTTGCTGCCTGCTGTAGGACCTGGGAGCAAGGATTTGGAGTTTTTCTTGTTGCTGGCCCTGATCCTAAAACTTGAAGTTCTAAATCTCGTCGTTTTGCATTTAGAACATTTTGGAGCTTGTACCAGCTCCCTCTTGCCTTCCTGCTTTCAGCGTGCATGTGCCTCGCCCGTCTTCCAAGCCAGCTGGAGCACATCGGCTAACATTCAGGCACAGGCAAAACTTTCTCGCTTTAAATGGTCTTGCCCCACAGGCGGGTGGCGCAGAACGGAAGTGTTCACGAGACTCCCCCAAATGTTGGAGTAGCGTTTGGTGGAGGAGGAAAGGAAGGAGAAAGAGCACCACATTTGTAAAGTGATGTACAGTTGTTTTACCGTTTTGCCCCTTTAAGTGTTAAAATGGAAGTGTAGTGAGTAATCTAATAATTAACCAAAACGCACACTTCCATGGACAAGCCTGAGTGGAACCTGAAGGTGTCAGGCAGTGGGAGAAAAAAAAATACCACCTTTCTGCTTTGAGAGAGGTAGAGGCATTTCCCATTCCAAATTAAAAAACAAAACAAAATAAAAAACTGCAAATGAACTTCAGTTTCAGGATTCATGGGTAGCTCAGGAAAGAACTGTTGGGTCAGCTGTGCTGAACGTTTTCTTCGGTTACGCCCATCAGTGGTTGAGCTCATCAATTTTGGAAGGCATCCTAGTATGTCTCATTAGGCTGTTTGAAACTATTCATGTCAGAATATAGCACTCTTATCCCTTCTCTTTTCATTGCTAATTAATGAATTAAAAGTCCACTATAAGAGTGTTAGAATCTATAGCCTAGGAAGAAGGTGGTCCTGGACTGTTGCCTAGTTGCCTCTGATCACATCCAGTGCTGCCAGTGCCTGGCCATCAGTGTGTATTCTGAGACAACAAAAACCCACCGGTGAGACATCTGGAATGCTTGCTAAGTTTAGAGGCATCCATTAACAGACTCGTGGCTTTTAGCAAAATGGAAGTTTGTTATTTAGAAATTTTGTTTTGAATTATTAATTTATGTAGAAATAAGAAATGCTTGAATTTTCAGCCAGGTCAGCTTGGGTCCGCAACATCATTCTGCCTATTTTAAGGTGAGGAAAGGCCATCTGTTTGTCCGGAAGAGAACTGACCAGCTCTTGAGTACTTTGTAAAGTAGCAAATGATGAACCATTTTAAGTGGGTTGGTTTAGTTAAGTCTACAGCCTATTCAGTATTTTAACTGTCTATTTATAGATAGGCCGTAAGGTGAAGTGAGAATAAACCCTAGTTCTGGTGACATCTGGCTGTTCATAGCTCTTGCTTAGGACCTTTAATTCTAACCATAATAGCTTCTACTTAGTGCTTACTATAACCCAGGAATCACATTCAATGCTTTCAATATGCTGGGCTTTTTGTTGTTGTTGTTTTGTTTGTTTTGTTTTTTGGCCACGTTGTGCTGCTTGCAGGCTCTTAGTTTCCCAACCAGGGATTAAACCCGGGCCCTCAACAGTGAAAGCTCTGAGTCCTAACCGCTGGACCACCAGGGAATTCCCTCAATATGCTGTTTTATCTTCACAAAAATCTTAGGAGCTAAATATTATTATCCACACTTTAAAGATCAGGAAACTACCCTTTAATAGGGTTAAGAACCTGCCCAGGGTCCTACAGCCATTAAGGAACAGAGGCATGTTTGCAGACTCCTAAATCCAAGCTCTGGGGTTTGAAGAAAAAGGGAAAAGGCCATATAAAAAGTGTTGAATTCTAAACTCTCAAATGGTAAAACTAAGATGATCATCATAGGACCAGTCCTTCTGACATATTTGGAAACCTGGCAGAATCCACCTTGTTCAGGAGGAAGGACACACACACTCACACAAAGATACACTTTTATACATATGCACACACACACAACAGCCCTTGGCCATTCACACCAGGGCAATCAGCAGACACCCGTATTCTGGGATCCTTCACGCTCAGAGCCAAGTTAAAAGGCAGACCAAGTGGATAAATGCTCTGAACACCAATCTATAAGGGTAATAACATTCCCAGTGGAAATTAGAAATATGGTACCATGTAACTCAGACCTCCACGTGTGACTGCTTCTATAACCATCAAATTATAAATCAGTCTCGCTCGTAGAAATGAAAAAAAAATTATCTTGGTGCCAGTTCCGCTCCCCCATTAAGAAAATGTTGCATTAATACTGAAAGGATATCATCAGAAGTACACCTAATTCTTAGTCTGCCTTGAGCTCCAACATATCTGGTCCAGACCTGTTTGTGCTATGGGTGGTCTACTCTACTTCTGGCACCGAAGTACCAGAGTCTCGAGCACTATGCCTAGTCTTCCATTCCGACTACACTGTTGTCTTCATCTCTCATGTGTGGTCCAATGCATGAAGTCCGGTGCTTGTTTCTGCACTTGGACTTTCCTTCTGATCCAGTACGGAATTTGGAGAACAGATCTTGGTTGCCTCGCTGGTCTTCAAGCCTCTCCCAAGTTTGACTTTACATACTAGATTTCCATTTTGGTTTCGGGTAAACTACTTTTCTCTTCTTGTTATTTGGGCAGCAGTCATGCTGC